TGCTTTGCTAAGCTTGTTCTAAGTAGGTGCTTTAGACCACTGAGCCATCTCACCAGCCCCTGTACTTACTTTTTATAGCTAAGTTCTCACATTTAAGAATTGACCTATAAAAACATCTGATTTAGGAAGAAGTCACTGTTTACTAAACTAATGGGAAAAGCTTCTACTTTTTAGATTTTACATTTATTGTAGTAAATCTACGCTGAACAGAAAGAATTCTAGCTATAAGAGGCCATCTGTCCTTTCACTTTCTTTTTCAAATACTTACTATAATACTTTACGCTTAAAGTCTGCCTCTGAGAGGTGTGTACTATTCTTATATGCATAATATGATAATTAAAAGGAAAATATAAGGCACTGCTCTATTCAGACCTACCTATACCCACAATCTCTAAGTCTTCATGAACTATATTATAATATCACATTTATTAAAAGAAAAAACAGAAGTTGTATTTTTCTAAGAGATGTGTATTATTATCCTCTTCATGAAACATTAATAAATTGGAAGCTTCAACCGAGACATTAATATCCTATGAGCAATCAAATACCAACGTGAGTTGTGAGAAAGACTATCCTCTAGCAAATTCCCAAAGTATTTCATCAGAGAACTGGTTAGATAGCTCCAAAGCCTACACACAGACATAAAGAGAGAAGATTGCACAAAGGTTTCTTTGAAGAGAGTTATACAGATTTCCACGTCTCATCTAAAGCATAAGTGGTGTGGGAAGAAGCCTTCCTTTCCTCTCAAGCCAGTGAAAGAAGCTTCAGTGGGAGCTGTGGAGGGCTTTATAGGTATTGCCTGGAGGCAGAGTGACACAGTAGACTGGAAGCTGATACACACTCCTGGGATCACACTGCAGCGGTAGCAAGAGTGTAGGGAGGAGAGCGCAGAGCTGGTGGTATGGAAGCTAGCTCAACTTCCACAGGTGGGATGGGAGAGGCAAGAATACAGGATGACAGAACAATGCTGAGGGCAAGTCTCCATCCAGAGGACCAAACATCCTCAAATTTAGACAGTAGTAATGCTAGCACAACTCTGTGTGAATACTAATAATTACTGGAGGTATGTGTTAAACTTAAAGGAATTGTATGTGATGTGGATAATTCAAAAAGCTGATGACACAAAAGAAAACTACTCTTTCCCCACTACAAAGACAGAAAGAAAGAAAGAAAAGATAACCTAACTAACATTTCTGGTGATCATCATAAGGTTCCATTCCCAACACTAGGAATATAAACAAAATTCTACTCCAAGTACAACCTCAAGTAGAGAGACTACCCCCAAGAAAGAGGGAAGAGTAAGAGGAGAAAAGAGAGACAGGGGAGGGAAGAGGTGCAAGAGGAAGTTCAGGAGAGACAATATGAACGGCCTAAAAGGAAAGCAGGCTGAGGGAAGCCCAGATGAGAGTACATAGGTGAGTGGCCTCCCACCTACAGGCTGACCATAGCTGGAGAAAGGACAAGTGTTAGCTTTGAAAAGAAACTGAAATGTACTGAAGTAACACTTTTAATTATGGAACTGACAATGCTTTCTACACTTAAATAAAAATGACTATAAAATTATGGACCTGAATTTTACAGAGGCAGAAAAAGAACTTTCCCTCCAGAAAGAGAGGAAGCAAGGAAAAGAATGTGACAGAGACAGAGACAGAGAGGCAGAGAGAGGGAGAGAACAAGGAGAAAGAGCTAGAGAGCACTGGGTGCACAGAGCGTGTGCTGGGGATAGAATGAAATGCTCTGAAATGCTATGAAATGCTTTCATAGCATGTGTGAGATACGGACTTCAATTCCCAGAACCACAAAAAAAGGTCATAAACAGGGTAAACTGCTTATGATTCTATCTTGTGTATCACACTGCAAAAGCCACCTTTTTTTGTTTGTTTGTACTAAATTTTAAATCTTAAAGTACTTGGTTTGACTTAATTTTCTAAAGAAATTGGTTTCTAAAATATAAATACTTCCTAGAAGAAAATAGAAATGAAAAATAACTTTTCATATAACAGATACTTTTTGGCATTTGACTTTTGTCTACAGATTACTAATTATAACTGTGTTCTTTATCCAATTGGTTCTGAATTATACTTTATTAACCCTATTAATTTTTATTTAAATTTTTTTGTCTTTTCATAATAGGATTACTAAGCACATCTATGGCTAAGACTTGGAATTACAAAAACTTGAAGAGATATTTTTCAAAGTAATACTTAGCTAACAAAACAGATTTGATATTTTTAATTCATAGGTTTAAGAGACTAGAACTTAAAAAAATTTTAAACTGCTTCAGCCTGATCACCTAATATCAAAACTTACTGTTTACAAGCTTTCAAAGACACACAACAAACACAAAAGTTACAAATTGTCTCTCCTCACTATTTCTCTCTTAATTATGTTTATCCACCTTCACTTTTTTTTTTTTTTTTTCAGGAACGGGGGATTGAACTCGGGTGCTTGCGCTTGCCAGGG